TATAATATCTAATAATCGACGCAAATGATATAGCAAGTATAATCTGAGCAACGAAATAATTAAATTAACATTTTTTTTTTCAATTCTAATGTATCAAAAATGTGCTATGAAAATTATTAATATGATAACAGGTTGCACTCAAAGTGTAAGCAACGCGTTTTTACAAATATTATGGATATTAAACTTTATATTATTATAAATATTAGATTGCTTGTTACAGAAAAAATTTTAGGGCGAACAATTAAATAAGGCTTTGCTTTGTAATAACTTTATGTATAAACTTTAATGAAAGGTAAAAAAATTTTGACAAATTAAAATGTATTGATTTTTTTATCTAGTACCTGGATAAAAGCAGCGAAGAACCGGCAGTAAAGAGATTACAAGTAATATGTAACTTTTTATAGCAGTGATTTTTAATTGGCGTTCCTGAGAATACTAGACTTTCGCAAACTTGTTAAAAGTATTCCACGAAATTATAAAAGTGACGTACTACGAGTAGCTATAAAGTTACGTTCGACGAGAACTTTAATATAAATGCGTAATGCCGTTTACAACGTAGATAAGATGAAACTTTGTAGTAAACTAGGAAAAGCTAAGTAAGCGTCTCTCTTACAGTCATTCATTGCAATTGTTTTGACAAATTCTATATTTCACGTGTATTTGGTTTATGCGTTGTATATAATAATTGATAATATCTTTAATTCAGATCTCTTGCATATAGAATCAGGTAATACGTTTTTCTATAAATAAATACTTTTTAAAGAAATTATTATTTTTCGATTGAAATTTATTATTTTGGGAATAAATTTTCCTAATTATATTTCCAATTTTTTCACATTCGAAACTTTTCCATATTCGAAAACCAAATACACCTAAAGATTGAATCATGTCCGTCGTCTTCTTTGGAACGATTGAAAATGTCACTTCTTTGTTTTCTGAAATCAATCGATTTAACTTCATTGAATAGAATAGTGAGAAGCTTTTGCGTTTTTTTTTACAGATATACTTGCTTTTGTTGATTGAACCAAGTTTTGAAATGTTCTGACATAAGTTTCCCTGATTTTTAACCTTCAATATAAGTATTTCTTGGACAGAATAAAGTTTCTTGCAACCTTGGATCAAATATTCCTCCAGACTTCTTCAAAACTATATATACTGATAAAGGAAGACGTTCGCTTGTTAAAATGATAAACATTATAGTGTAACTTTGTGTCGTAGACGGGATATCGATTGAATAGCTCTTTCTACTGTATTCACTCTTTCTACTGATTTTTTCAATGTTCTATTTTTAAATTGTATTTCAAGCTCGTCTACATTATAAATTTTATCAATTCCAATAGTTGAGATGTTAGATCTTACACATGGAACAAAAGATTCTTTCGCAAGTCTTGAAACGTCGCGTTCTAAATATTGCTTTCTTGCGAGATACGGTTCTATGCACATTCTTGAATTTTCAAATCCACCCATTTACTTGTTTTGAATTCATATAGGTTCACCAGGTCTTTTGCTTCCAAATACTACGATTTCAAATTCATATCATAAACAACAGATCTTCTGTCACAATTATACAAGATTTCTATTACTTTAGTAATGAACGAGCTTTTATGGAAAATGTTGCATTTATGGAATGTTGACTTTCATGCGATATGCGCGGCGTGGCGAATATCTTTGTGTCAAACATTTCTATGAGGAATATCATTATTGTATCAATTACAAATCATAATTTTTACTCTTTTTATGATTTGTTACATCTCCCTTCGATAGATGACGAAATGAGAGTAAGCATAAATATTAGATTTGATATTGTTGAAATCTACAAAAGCCGGCAAGCTTAAAAATCGCATTAAAATTGATCTAAATAAAATTGTTGTATGGAAGAATTATTTTAATTATAGCTGTTAAATCCTATGGCGTTATTTTAGGTAGTTAGTTTTTAATTAGACCATTAAGTCTTTATCGTGACTTTAAGGAACATAAATTATATAGATTGATAAGATAAAATAAAAGGTGATTTGGTAGGTAAAAAGGCTCTGCGAATCAAAGGAATTAGAGAACAGAATATTAAAGATAAAAATTTCAAATCGCTTACTTTTTTTACGCATACTTATGTAATAATTCATGAATGGGCTTTTATCTCGATGATAAGTGAACCATGTTCGGTAAAAGTTATGAGAGATTACTCACAGATTGTTCTCAATTTATTGGAAATTTACTGATTTCAAAATACAGATTTGAACTCGATTAAAAATCTTTGTTACGTTTCCGTTCCGATTATTTGGTAACACTTATTTTAACATTCTTGAATGTAATTTCAATGTGCACGTTCACGCATAATTCCGTTCAATCTCATTTCAGTCATCGATCCATCATATTGTTGTCAACGATACTTTTATTAAATAACTGATGGAATTCTGATAATCTGCAATCTTTTGTCTGTAGACAAAGAAGATTTTCTAAAAGTGAGAATTCTCCGTCTATTCTAACCTTTAACACTCTCGAAATCCGTGGAGTAGGATCTTCAGACATATCAGTTTCGTACCGTTATCAATTTCACGTACGCAAATATTATCTTTCATTTAAAAGCGATACTTTAGCTGTTATTTTAATAAAGTATTGTTATGATTCGTTAACCTCAATGTTTCTTGTAAATTGTATCTTTGGCATCAAAATTCACCTCTCTAAACCTACAGAATTAATTTCTGTAAATTGCATCATTTACAGCATAGAGGATACTGTTTCCAAAAAATCTTTTTTGTATATGAACTATTCTCGGAAAAACAGGATTTTGTGACAAAGGTTTTTATCAAAAATTCGAAAATTCTGACTGCTTGTTTAAATCTCCATTTTAAAATGAGACCTTGTTCATCAATTTTTGTTCATCAAGAATCTTGAATGTTTTGAATGTGGTATAATCTACGCAAGCTTATACGTCGATACGATAGGCGCATAATGGGTATAGCGTTTGCCCTGTTGCTCTTGTAGTTCATATTTTGTTCATACCTGTCGCTGAAGTCGCACACGCCTCGAACGAAAAGTGATGAACATGGTTAAGTAATTGGGAAACAGATTGATTGATGATGGAGTTATACGGCCCACGGCGAAGAAGTTATCCATTTATTACGATCTATAGCATTAACTCTATCATCATAAATTTTTTTCTTAGTTTGCGACACATTCGGCTATTTTGATTTTTTACTATCTTATCGATAGTAAAAAATTCAAATATGACGAAAATGTTCTTCATTTTATGATATGTTTAAAATTTCATAAAAAATGAAATTTTATTTTATTGATCACGGCAAAAACTTATTAAAATTAAAATTGATACCTGATTATTAAATGACACTTTTATAAGATGAAAAATAATATTTGCGTACGTGACGTTGGTAATGGTACGAAAAAGAGATGTTCCGTCAATAAATGGAGGAAACAGAACGCTTAAAATATGTCACTTTAAAGTTCAAAAGACGAGGAATAGGCGGAACGATAAAAAAAAAAACCTCTTTATCTCTGTGCCGTTCCATAGATGCCGTACCAAAAGACTGCAGTTTATCAGAATTCTGTCAGTCATTTCGAAAAAGAAAACCATTAACGACGATCTCGGTCGTACAGAAAATATGACGGATCTGAACGAAAATATGTGAACGTGTACACTTAAATTAATGTTAAAATCAATGTGACCGAACAATCTGTATGACTGAACTGAAATTTACGGATTGACCTTTCTTTACTCGCAATTTTTTATCTATGAAGAAAGGGAATTTTTCATCCCCCCCTCTGTACGTTACCACCTTTTAACATTCTCGAAGTCCATAGATTAGAATCTATGGTACTATCTGTCTGATAGTGCATTGATAATGAATGAGCGAATATAAATGATTGGAACTGAACTGTGAGTAAAGAGACGAAACGACGATAGGACGATGACTTAACTGACAATGTGATTGAACTAAAATATGAGAATCAACCTTTAAAGATTTTCTCACAGGATACGAAACACAGATTAATCATTAGTTTTACAGAATACAGACTTAATAACTGATCAATGACTTTCTATCAGATAAAAATGTTAACATTTTTGCTCGGTAAATAATTCTGATTGGTTTAAAATTGAATCAGGAATCTATTATGTCATTAAACGAAATGAGCTTCAGCTGACGCAAGATCCGAAATATTTAGCAGGATGTATTTCATAAACAAAGATATTGGAGGTCTTTGCGAACTGTTTATGTTTCCAATGGTGTTAGGTGAGCGCATGAATAGGCCGAGATTCGTAGAAGTATAGAGAGTATCAATAGCGATAGGATAGGGATCGTTTGGTAAATACATAGGTAGTAAAAAGGCGTCGGTGTAACTCTTCCTGTAAATCGTTAGATTACACATTCCAAACCTTCAAAGAGGAAAATATGAAAAAATAGAAGGAAAAAGAAACATAAATAGAACATTTCTTATAAAAGATTATTGTCAGTTTTATGACCTTAGTGGTTTTTTATGTTTCGCGAATTTGTCTTATAATCAAAAATATTTCATGACCACTGTTTTAAAGTTAAGATGTAGAAAAATTCGTATAATTCGTCGGTCGCAGTTTTGGCTTTTCAATTCAAATGACAAAAAATAGGCACAAATATGAAATAGTCATATTTAATAAATCACAGAAAATATTTGAAAAATATTTCGTGATATCGGTTAATCGTATCGTTCCGCCGTTTCTCAATTAACATCATCAGCTAACTATCTGCGTGACTAAATATTAGTGTGTCCTCGCAGATGATTAAGTGATATACATGGCATTAGATGGTATGCATATGGATACCGTGCGTTATACACTTTCTCATTCCGACGGATAGCGGATTATTTAGAATTTACAATATTTTGAAGTTATAATATTACTTTTTTACATAATTTGAAACAAAATGAACATTTGATTAATAAAAAGTGACGAATACAATTTATGAGAAGGAACGAAAGAAACACTATCAGAATTTTCGTTTATATTACAGCACTAAAGAAGTGGTACAAGAAAATCGATCAAGCTGGCGCCATTTAAGCTTCGTTTCTCGAAGATGTCGAAGTCGCGAAACGGCGGCAGTAAGGGTAGCCGCAGTAACAGCACAGAATCGGAAGATTCTAGCCAACAGCGTTTGATTAATTCACCACTCTTGTCGACATCGGATACACTCGGAACGAACGGCAACAGTTTTGTCTTGAGAAACGAATCAACGGTGCCGAGTTCGCCTCCGCCTTCTTATCAGCACGTTCTCGAAGAGGTCTTGTATTTTTTTCCAACTTTATTATATCCGCCTTTTTCCGTTTCATCCTTAGCATCGAAACGATAAAATTATTCTAACTTCCCCTGTGTTTCTATGTATCTAGTATTACATAAAGTCTTTGGGTTTCCTTGTATAGTGGCATTAAAATGCCACGATATAATTTTTTATATAAAATTACGATATTATTTGTTTTGTTCACTCGATCATTCGTATACGCGGAACTAATTAATCATGCTTTACTCGGACCAAAACGCATGTGTTACAATATTGTGCATGCGGTGTACCGCCGCATATATTTCATCGCATTGCAAATATTAGTTATATGACATTACTTGCGCCACGTTTCTTTCGTGCCAACTTTTCTATTGGTAATCAAATACTTTCTCCGTCCATGGTTAAGATAATAATTGGAACTTAAGTTCGATAAGTTTTAAAATAGGAAAGAAAGAATTTAAATTTCGTATTAGCATTTTAATACAATTCTTTAATACAAATTTTTATTACTTTTTATACATATAAATATTTATATCATTTTGATAGAATAACAATTCTTCGTTGTGTCACGATTAATTTCATTCAAACGTCGATATCAATTATTAACGATTATTATTTTTCGATACTTTGAAACTATTGATCAAGCAAAGGTACAGGATAAATAACATAATATTACATGTATAATAATTTAACAGAAACCAATATCATCGTGATATTTCATAATGTGTAGGTATTAGTATAAAATTCAATTTGACGAAAGAAAATATTATCATTAACATTAACAAACGCTTATTTTATGAAAATCTATATTGCAATATACATTTTCATCTATATTGTAATATACCTTGACGCATAGTAATTAAGATTACCAAGAAAATTTTCGAAGAAGTATGATCGTAAACATTCCAATGTTCATTTTTATAATTGCAGACGAGAATGAGGCAATCGGCTGATAATGAGGGAGAAGAGGAAATGGACGAGGTAGAAGAGTATACAAAAAAACAAGGACAAGCTTTGAAGAGGTACAAACCTGCTGTTAGCGGTGAAGGAGGTGGCGGTAGTGGTTGCGGTCCAGGAGGTGGAGGAGGGAGACAGCCTGTCAAAGGGACAGAAATTCTTCATAAATCGAGCAAAGAATTTTATAGAGCGGTTGCCAAACAATGGGGAATTACTTGTAAAATGAGCGATCATTGCAGATGTTTCGATTGTCAGGTATGAAATTTTACAATGTAATACATTTCTTGCTTTTAAATAGCGCAACTTAAATAGAAACAAAATTTTCTTTTTCGTTCATTTTGAAAAGATCGTTCGTCCTTATTACAAAACAAAAAATTATTCTAATCCTTTTATGTCGGGGTTTTATAAAGAAAAATTTTTATATTGTATTATAAAAGACAAAGCAATCAATAATATAAGGAGAAAAGTGTCTAGCTTTTAAATGTAAAAGATCAACTAATCAAAATCACAGACTTTTTCTCCGTACCATTTTTATCTAATTGGTGATTAAAGTTAGAAAACGATGGATTTAAAGGATTTTTCATTTCAAATATCGCAAAAGGGCGGAAAATAGCAATTAATTAATAAACTAATTCTTTATATATACCTTTACAGATTTTTAAATGATATTTAAGAAATATTATACTTGAAAAATCACAAGTCTGACTTCGTGATATATATCAAAATCTATTGTCTGAAATTCTAATTAAACCGATGATTATGTAATCACTGAAAAATTTTCAATTTTAATTTTCGAAATATTCGAGTTACTAAACATAGTACGTCCGTTTTGAACCAGTAAGACCGTAATATCTTATTTGAAAGTTTGTTAAATGAGACAAATTAAAAACTTTCAATTGATCTTTTAATCCTTCGTCGTGTCTCGTTGCAGACGAATCTCACGAGACAATATGTAAGTGGACAAACTCAAATGATTCTCGTTGGTTTAACTGGCCTTGCGTCGAGGAAAATTTGTTCGAGAGTTCGCTTTGAACAAGAATTTCAAAGACTCTTTCTTCCTTTCATCTTTGTTTAACCAACAATTCGACGAGAAATGGTCAATCGTTCTTCAATCGCTACTTTTAATTCGAACTAAATTAAAACTAGCAAAAATAAAGTATTAAAGTTGTCGATAAGTTCATTAAATTTCCTTTCGAAAATTTCACGATATTGTTTACTTTTTAATTGAAGTTCTTTTTTTAATTTCTTTCTTTCCAAGATGTTTTCACCATGTAAATGTCTTTAAACGAATAAATAGATCGAATATAATTAAATAAGAAGGAAAAGCTGATGAAATGACACGATCATGATTAATGGCTAATCTAACGAGCAACTTATCTTTCAGAGTCATTACTTCGACTGCGAATATGATAAGGATGAGCACGGGAAAACCGACGGTGGATTGGGCGCCGGCACGCCAATGTTTCTTACCTCTATGATCCACGGCACGTCCTGTGTTCTCCTATAAGAAGAACAAATTTTCGCAAACTGACAAAACAAACCATTTTTGCTTTATCGAAGCCGAATATATTCGTGTTTGCCCACAAAAAAGAACGAAAGAAAGAAAGTATAAATAGTTTCTTGAAATGGACTGATTCATGGAAAGAGCATGAAGATATTTAAGATTAATTGTTAAGAGGGACAAGGACATTGAGACGGGTAAGAAAAAGAGAAAGAGTAGGAAGTGCACTCGACGAAAAGTCCGACTACGGGGAGAGATTTATCCGTTAATCCGGAGGTAGAGTCAAATTAATAGAGAAATATCGAATCTTTGGATTTATCTTCTGTACGCCCGCGAAATCTGCAATTTTCGATTTCTCTCTCTCTTTCTCTCTCTCTCTCGCTCTCGCTCTCGCTCTCGCTCTCGCTCTCTCTTTATCTATCTGTCTATCTATCTATCTATCCATCTGTCTATCCATCTGTCTATCTATCTTTCTCGATCAAGCAAAAAGATTTGCCATAATAACAATTGCCTGTGTACTTACGTACATTTGCGATTTTTCACCGACAACTTTTATGCGAGTCTGGTGATCCGTAGACGAAGAATAACACTTGTCAATTTTTTGCTCGTGGTCTGATTCATACATTATCCTTTAGGATAAAGACGAAGAACGCGGCAACGTGCAATTTGTGTATATTTCATGTGAACGTAACTGAAATCTAATAACTCAAAGTTAATTTTAATAAAATCTAATCACGAGTTGCTACATAGAATTCATTCGTTCGTGAGTTCCCATTTTGATTGTGAGTTTGTGTCTCTGTTAAATATCTCGTGTAGCCTATAATCAAGTCTACCAATTTCTTTTTCTTTAGGATATCACACCGACTGGTTTTTTATAGTACTCGAAACAATTTTATGAGAATCTATAAATAAATGGGCCTACGTTCTTTCGATGACATAGAAATATATCTTTTTGAACTAAAGTTAAGATTCATGAACGGACGTTCTAGTTTTCTGTGCGATATATTAGAAGAGCAAGAGAAAAAATTACAAAGAAGTAGATAGAGATATTTACCGACTAGAAAATAAATACAACAAAAAAAAAAAAATAAATAAATAAATAAATAAATCCTGCGATTTCCGAGAATGTAACATCCGATGGAACATCGCGACTCGAAACACATGAAAGTAATTTAGTAATATAGTAATGAAAGATCTGGATCATCGAGCATCTGTTCGATGGGATGCATGTTCCGCGATTCGTTACATGAGTTACGTTCAGTCGTAACAAACACGTTGTTAAATTAAAGTGTGCGCACGAAAAATTTGACCGAGAACGATCGCATTTAAACTTCCACCATTCGTTTTCGTTCGAACGTTAATTCTTGAATGAAGTTCTTGAGAAAAATACGTTTTTCTTTGTCTTATTATACTTTTATATTTTATTATTTGTTATGTCATATAAATTTTAATTGAATCTACTTTTGAACTAATAATTAAATCTGATCGTTCATGGTCTTCGCTATGAGAAATTCAATCTGCCTTTAGCTAAATATGTCGTAAGATTGTAACGTTTAATACAAAAAGAACTTTACCTTTAGTTCTTCTAAGGTGAAAAGAATTTAACTAATGATATGATATAATTGACGAACTGTAGTGGCGAAGAAAGAGGATCGTCGAGAGAAGCATATAGTTCGATTATCTGATTCCTATCGAATCGATTGAGGATCGATGAATTCAAATGAAACATAATACAGTACCTGCCTATTTCAGAGAGGGCCGTACACATTGAATGCATTTACCAAGACGAAGCTTTAAAAGACGAGCTCGCGGATTAATCGGTTGAATCTAATGCATTCATTACGTTATGAAATGTGTCATCAAAATATATAGATGTATTAATCTATAAAATAATCTATATATATATACACTTATATATACACTTTCGAATAAAGATATGCCAGATACGACATTAAAGCTCAAATTTATTTGTAATCTTTAGATGTACGTATTAACGTTGTGTGTATACACATGCGTAAATAGTGTTTTCACACTAGCTCTTGAAATATTTACTGCTAAAGAACAAAACACGAGTACTTGATAAAATGGACATTAAATAAATCAAATGAATGAACGTAAAAATAAAAAAAGATTGTGCGATCCCGCGTCTATGGATTGTAAAGCTTCGTTTTGAGCTCGATGAATTAAGAGTGTGCGTCTAATGCTGGCCTATTAACTTATATTCGTCTTTTCACAAAAAGATTGTTCGTTTGTACCTCGCGCCGAAGGAAATAAGGGATATACATATATATACATATATATATATATATATATGTAACCCTCTATTGCCAAAAACAAATTTTTTGTATAATCGATATTATAACTTTCCTACTTATAATTATTGGAAAGAACACGACCATCTTGTACAACTTTATCTTGCACTCTATTTCGTTCGAAATATCTTTTTAGCTTATGTATGTGTGTGTGTGTTGATGTATGCATGATAAAATCAGCATGGAACAGAATAGGCACGACCGATGTAGTTCACCTTAATGGCTTATAATACTAGTTAAAATAAATATTTCTGCAAATTTTTTATTTATTTTAACTTAATTTCAATTATTAGAAACTTTTTATATATGTTTCAACTTTTGAAATGACTACCATCTTAAAACTAAAAGTTAAATTGAATTTTTTTTGCATAAATTTCAAATCAGTCTATTCTAACATTTAGATCGTTTATTATAAAACCAGTGTGTGAGTGTGTGTGTGCAGGCGCACATATGCGTTTATACAATTACGTACGAATCTGCGTGCGTAAAAATACATTATATATAAAGTTTGATGGAAAACTTAAAGATAGATAAAGATATTCTATTAAGTCCATAAAATTTCAACAAAATTCATACCTACATAGATACGCACATATATGTAATAAGATTTTGATATAAAACATAGAGAATACCGGTGGTCGTGCCTAAGAAGAATTGTAATAGAAATCGACGGACGGAGACTTTCGTGATTTAAAAGAAGAGAAACCTTTTATTGTATAAATGAAAATCGAGGAAGTAAAGTAGGTTTTGACCTTTCTTCGAATATTCTCGATACGAGTTACGCTATTATAAACATTTTTCTTCATCTTATTTTTCAAAAATAACACTCGCGAATCTACTAGACGGCAAGTATATTACAAATATCGATCAAGTGGACGATTCGGAGTGCTATACTTATATGTGTAAAGTATTTTGTGCTCACGTATGTACGTCTAACGATATATATTCTGTGTAATCTACAGTGTGTAGAGGACAAAAAAAAAAAATAAGAATTATAAAGAAATCATCGTTATAGAGTATGACTATAAAACTTGATGTACTTGTACAAAAACACAGCACCAATAAACATGGCCTAAGCAGCATGATCCATTCCTTTTGTATAATCGAATATTCATGATCTTAAGTCGTTTTTAAGTTCGAAATGAGACAAGCTCGTAAAGAAACCTAATAACGATTAATTTGAAAAGAATACCGTACAAGGCAAGGCGAGAAAAAATATTGAAAATTTTGATTCTCTTTTGCGAATAGGCAACCCGTAAGAACACTACGGCAAACTCAATTATTATTCACTTGGCGTATATGTGACTATATTTTCGATGTGTTAGACGAAGTAAACATGCAACAAGAAGCGTGCAAAAAACATAATTACAAATGGTTTATTAATCAAAATCCTTTTATTCATTTATTTCATTATTTACGTCGAAGAAATAGAAACTTAAATAATGTAACACTTTATAAAATATGTTTACTTGTTTCAGATACATATATTCATTTCTCTCTTCTCAGTGATGATCCTTCCAATAGTTCCGGAGACGTTCGCGTTAATTCTTATTGTCCTTGAGACACTTTCTTCTTTTTCTTTTTTTTTTCTTCTTTTTTTTTTTTTTTTTTTTTTTCTTTTTTTCTTTTTTTTGCTTTATTCATCGACAAATAACGTTCAATCAGCAAGTTGACACATCGCTTAAGCCTGGAACAGATCCGGCTTGCCGATGACATCACACTCGAGGTCTCTTTAGGGATCGATCAGCGTGTCTCCGCTCGTAAGTCGCGCGTGCGTCGAACACTTGTCGCACTTGTCTTTACTTCCTTACTCCTGCCACTTGATTCGCTCTTTTCCATCTTCTTAAACCAATTGCTTCATCTTTTTTATCCTCTATTTGTTCTTCTTATTCTCTTCTTCGAGCTTTCTCATCAGCATTAATATAGGCAGAATTTTCATCTTTCCCTTCTTCGCTTTCTGTATTTTCTTTTCTTTTTCTTTGGTTTTTTTTCCTACATTTTTCTTTCTTCATTTCTCTCCGCTCTCGGACGTTCTATCTTCCACGAACACTTATGCTGAAAATACGAGCGAATAAGAAATAACATATCATGTGTCCGATAAATCAACAAACCTTTGGCAAATGTTTTGCAAATCTTTTGAAAAAGAATATGAAAGAGAAAAAGAGAAATATTCTTCTTCCTTTTTTACTTCTTCATGACAAATATAAAGTATGCAAATATTAACATACGGTTCTAACGCCTTCTCCATTTTATTTTCGTGATACCCAAGAGAAATCCGGAAATATAAATTCAATTTCATTCTTCACGAAGTGTACACAGTTATTCGATCGTGGGTCGAAGGAGTAGATATGTTAAGTATAGTATTGTCACGCACTTTCCCATCGTCTCGCCTTCTCCTTCGACTTTGAGCTTTTTGAAATCACTCGTTGCGTTTCTAGTCTCTCCGACTAACCGGTGTCACGACCTGCCTCTTACCTGCATTTTACCGCTGTCCCGTTCTCCCCTTCCTTCTCCGATCGACGTGACTTTTTGTTATCCCTTCCAATGATTTCCTTTCTCTTTTATTCTTACCGAAATGTCTCTTGGCCGTATACCCTCGTCATCCTTCTTGCTTCTTCAACCTCTCCTTTCACGCTACGATTCTACGAATACGTGTTAATCGTTACATCACGTCCATATTAATAAATTCGTTCATCATCGATGCAGAATGTGTTTTATTTTGATCATAATTTGTTTATATCCTAGGATTACGTGTTTACACTCGTAATAATGTGATTACGATTATTGGTAATACCAACAATAAAGAAATATATTTCATTTAAGCGATATAAATACAATCCCGTAATTGTTATTTAAACTAAGTTTTTCAAATCAATTGAAACAAGCTTGACAGCGAACGTATTACAACGTACGTTGCGGAAAGTAGCACGTTTCATTTATCTCATGAAAACTAGTACATTTCAATTTATCACGAAAAAAAGCACCTTTCGATTTTGTTCTCAAAAAGTAACGTGTTCGGCCCATTAGAATCATTATAACAAGCAGATCATGTTTTGCTTTTTTTTAATTACTAAATACAAAGCGCTAATTTTCGTAAGAACAAATGAAACGTGCTACTTGTCGTAACGTGCATCGATTAAGGATCCTAATGCAATTTGAAATCAATGATCAGACATATCGATTTTCTATACCTAAGAAGAAGCGGCACGTTATCGCTTATTAAACACTCATCGTTCGTACTTGCTGCTCCCTACCACCAATGTACAATATCTCCCACTCTCTCTCTCTCTCTCTCTCTCTCTCTCTCTCTCTCTCTCTCTCTCTCTCTTTTTTTAGTACCACCACTCTACGTCTCTTTGCACAGCGGTTTCTGTTTCCCACCATAGAACCATCTCTATCTCTCCTCTCCTCTCTCTCTCTGTCTGTTTCTCTGTCTGTCTGTCTGTCTGTCTCTTTCTTTCTCTTTTTCTCTTTCTCTTTCATTCATACACACACAGACACACACACACACACACACGCACGTTCTCTTCCTCCTTCTACTCGACTACCTACTACTGCCACTTGTGTGTCCATCGGTTTCCGTACCGTCCCTTCTTCTTCGTTCGCTCTCTGTGTTTGAGCCCAGTTAGCTCGGTATCGCATTATGCTACGGTCGTCACACCGTGTTGTACGATGCTACGTCAGTGCCGTGGCAGTACATACTCGTGATCTTCTTCTTCTTCTTCTTCTTTTTGTACATTTGTGTGCTCCACTTTACTACACGCGAGAAGCAGAAAATCATCGGCACACGATTGGTGGTACCTTCGCTGGCATGCTACGTCACGGAAAATAATGGGAAAAAACGCCAGCAAGTTGAAGTCGCGTAGAACTCAAAGTCAGTTTTTCCTCTCATTCTTTCTTTTTCTTTTTTTTCCTTTTTTTTCCTTTTTTTTTTTCGTTCATGCGTTTTTTGCCAATTCTTCATTATATTAATTTCTAAAGGAATAGGAGTCTCTCTTTTAATAAAACTTTATTACTCGATGAATAGTTCCGTAAAAGTGCTCATTATTTTAATAAATGTTTTTCCGAGCTTCGAGATTTACTATATCGATCACACGTGACTCGCGAACTGTTTTCTTTTATCGAAAGAACGACGTTTCTTTAGTTTCGACACTTTAATTCGGCGAATCGTTTCGAAAATATATTCTTCGAGATCATGATAAGATACTCATGTCGCCACTTGATTTTTATGATCTATTCAATATTATTAAAATGTTTCCAAATGATTCATGTTGCTGTAATTCGATGTCCGTTGAACGATTATTTGACAGAAAGCGAGAAACAGAAGGAAAGAAAACGTTGAGAGAAATAAATGCTTCATTAACGGAGATCGATACGAGTACGAAGTAATTATTTGCGGTTGACCGTGATTCTGCATCCTGAAAATGTCCAAAGTTTGAAAATACTATGGAATAATGTGAAATTTATTGCATGAATTCTGCATGCCAACCAGCTCGATCAAGAAAGCTGTAAGGCAACTTATAATTTTGCCGATTAGCGATAACGCAACGGAATATAAATGATCGCTTAAAACTTAAACATTCGTACGTAACGTAAATATCGAATCTTTTACCAATACATGTTGAATATATGTATCGTATACGATTTCATCGTATGTATGATCACGATTTAAGAGTCCAACAAATCCTTGGTAGTTTTGGTGCCTACAGAACGGCCGAGCAAAAGGTCATATTTCCTGCGAGTTACGACAGCATCTGTAATGTGTCCGTAACGTATATACATACTGTCTTGTTACGTTGCAAGCAACATCGATGTGGTCTCAATGACGTATTCAGAAAGTATTACGCGTACTCCCGGTATAATTTTTCTTGCGTTTTTTTTTTCCTTTTCCATACAATTTGAAGGATGATCGTTGTTTATCCGTTCGTTTAATCGTTTATACCTCGTTAAGAGAGACTCGTGGCGTCAAGGTTACAGAATGCCGACAAATTACATTAACAAGAGATATTTATTAAGCATTTATAGGAAGTCGAATGGATTAAACGAGGTAAATCTTTCAAATTCTCCTTATACCTGAAATTCATCGTTGAAGTTGAAGCGAAACTAAATTTGATCAAGGTACGATATAAATTACGTATGGCGTCAAAGTCACCCATTATTTCACGCTTTAAGATCTAGTCGTGTAAGTAATTGCTCTTTCTCAAAGTATTTTTGAGATAACTAAAAATGTTACCGATGACAACGATTACAAAAGAAAAAGAAGTCGAAGAATTTCAACGTGTTTACAATTCCCGAGGATGCTTTCTTTTGGGAGTATTTATAAAAATCTCTGATAAATTTCAATTCTTCCATTGATTTATCTAATAACGACTCGTTTGTCGTGTCTTATAGAAACTTCTATATTACTCCTTTTCAATGTATTATGAATATAATATCGCATGTGAAATTTCATACAAGTTAGACAATATCAGACAATTCTATGGCTCGGGGCAATCGGGCTTGTGTGCTTTTTTTTTGAGTTGATAACGTCTCTTCGTATATTGCATAGTTATCTCGGTAAACGGCGACCTTATCACCGTTGCCAGGTATTATGTTAGCAAGCGGAGAGTGAGAGCGAGCCAACGGCGACGGCAACGGCGAGCTCAGCACACCTGCATTCCGATTACTTAGCTTTTTCAAACCAGCCATGCTCAGTTACGTCAACCAACCGACCGACCGACCGACCGACCGACCGACCGACCGACCGACCGACCGACCGATCGACCGACAGACCGACAACTGACAGATCGTTGTCGATACTAATACACGATTACACGGTACCAACCTCAATTATTACATTTCAATCGCTTTCGACTATAACTGTCTGCGGGTTACGCGATTGAATTGTTTTAGAAAATTATTGGGTCGATGGACGAATAGATAAGCGTACAGATAATAATCGATAAGTGGGTGTATAGATAGGCGTGAAAAGGAAAAAGAATAAGTCGCTTCGAAAACTGACATACTTGATATCATTTAATACTATTTTCAATTTTAAATGATCATAAATTAAAACCATTCCAATATGCATATTTAATTGTCTATAACTTGTAATCGTAGTTGAAATTCTTATATGTAAATATTTGAAGAAACTTTGAAAGAAAAGAAACGACCTATGGAGCGAAATGAACTGAATATATCTGCAAGAGTGCAGGTAGCAGCTCGTGATTCTGGAAAAAATCCAAACGTGCTTTCGAGCGTGTTCGAGCGCAACGGTAAAGCGCGTGCTTGAACGATCATGTCTGGCCAGCGAAATGGACTGGCTTGTTTTCGCGACAGTGGACGTACTATTGTTACGATAGTACAAATAACAGAGGCGCCGCGAACAAACAAAAGATAAACATCACAACTTATCGCATCTATTTGCGTTCTTCTATCGTACAATGCAGATGTAAAAAGAAAACATGGCTTAGAAACGACGTGAATGTAACGATTTTGAATTTTTTGCAATTATTTTCTTTCGAATACCGTCCTTTCGTTCTTTCGATAATGTTTAGAAAAATTTGCTAAAAATGTATTAGAAATTCCATAGCGAGAATTGCTATGATCATTTGAAATAATATGAACAGAAGGAAAAAGTATCATTTTTTTTTTTTCTATAGTAGCATTTTTACGTATTTCAAAGGCATAGCATGGAGTTTTCGATTTCCGTCGATGGGCACCCTACAAAATTTAGGTGCCAGCGGACGACGCCGCAAGAGAGGCTTTTCTTCTTCGACCTCTTGCAAGGATCTTCGACGGCAAAGACATACGATTCATCTACAGCCAGAAGTGATTATTCAAAAGGAACCGTGCCTGATCGTGACTCCACCGTCGCCAGAGAATTTCATTAGGGCTAATCAAAGGTACTGAAAGAATACTAATTTATCGAATCCCGCTAGATTAATGTAACCAATTAATAAGGAGATGCCATTGGGTGAATGATTTTTCTTTTAAAAAAAAATTTGCGAAGAATTGTGAATCTATATTTCGAAAAATAGTAGAAATATTGTAAGAACTGTATGCGATAAATGAAGAAAATGAAAAATATCGATCGACGTGAATAACAAATTGAGACGGTAACTCTTGTTCTCTCCCTTTCTCTCTCCCTCTCTCTCTTAACGTCTGAAATTTTCACCAAAGTCGAGTGGCTTGACTTATAATTTATGAATTAGCCTCTTTGAGGGTATACGGGAATACCAGTACACGGGCACATAATGGAGCCGGCTGGTCTCGAACCGGTTTTCCTCGATCTTTGCCTTCAAAATGACGTGCCGACTCGTATACGGTGCGCAACAAACGCGGGAAGTCCATAACGTAAGATCAGGGAAACCGCGAATCGAGGATCATCCGCGAGCGAGAAATCTTTCGAGGCTTTTCATACTGTTCGTCCTTGGTGTTCCGATCGCACACGCAAGTCTGCGATTCTTACGAGAAATTGATGATATAATTTAATGATAAAGTAAGCGATGACTCGTGCAACATCCGAAGACCTCGACAATTTACATTTCGATCGTTTCATTTTAGCTTTTCTCTAACCAAAAACAGTGATTCGCTTTTTTCGAAGGATAAACTTATCAATGGTGAAAATGATCGATCAATTCAATAATCGATGAGTAATAATCTGAAAGATGGAATAATGTAAACGTATTAATAGAATTGTTTTTTTGCAAAAATTTCAAACGGTTTTGCGCGTTTAATCGATTCTTACGTTCTTTCATCCTATCCCATTCGTTCCAACTTATCTCACATTTCTCATTCCATCGTATCGCATAACCGACTCTATCTCAAATACGTTTGCGCATCTGCAGATAAGCATGGTTTCGTTCTCGCACATTGCATCGGCCACGCGTGATCTCATTGGACGTAACAGAGCGTCAGAAGTCAGAGACGAAGAGATAACTGAAAGATAACGAAGGAAAGGAGGAGGCGCGATGCTTACGCGTAACGTTATCTTTATCTCTGTCAATAATCTATATCTCGGTGTTTCGATGCATGGTACAGCATCCTTATCGACCAAGTGCGAGTTCATAATTTTTTTTTCCATGAAATTACTCGAAAGTTTATGATAAAGAGATTGATCGATATTAAACATCGATTCGAATATGAAAATATTTTTATAAATAATTTAAATAGAACAATTAATTAAAATTATCATTTTCGTAATTCTAAACTCGAATTGATTGAAGAGATATCTTAATTCGTTTAAAACTAGGTCAAATAAATTGCTTGAAAAGAAAGGAAAGAGAAAATACAAATAATCAAAGATTTCATTGATTGGCCGAGCTTGTTCAAGGATCAAACGTATATAAATGAAAATGTAATAAAAGCTGATCCATTAAAATTTCTTGAGATAACTGTTTACGATGAGAGATACGATCGACGAAAATACGCAGTGAATACCATATGTCGACCACCTGAATTTCAATGAAAACCTCGTCGTAGGTAGATTTGTTACGGCGCGTCTCATATTTATTTTATACGACATTTCGCGAAATATTTTGACCGAAAAAAAGATATTAGCGAAAAACATCATCGTCGTGGAACGATAAAAAGATCTCATTTTTAAAGATTTTCCTTAAATAACACTATTTTTGGAAAATGAATCATACGTCTGATTTATGGATATGTTATAACGTAAGAATTTTCTTTCGCTCATCTCAATATTTAA